TGATCTAATGCAACGTTCAGTTCCACTAGGGGGTCTGCTATGAACAGACAAAAACCCTATTCCTCAGTCAGTAGGAAGCTTACAAACAACTAAATCCCATGCCATAAAAGGCTGGAATTAATTGAGAAGTCTTGTGGCTGGCCAAATGACCTAACATTAGACTGAACATTAAAAGTCCAATGCCATTTCAAGAAGCTGAGGGCAAAGAAAGGAGTGAGCTGAGCAAACCAAATAGAAGCCATCAAAAGGGGGCCTACCAGCTATGGACATGCAGTGCCCTCCCAGTAGGAGCAATTTATAGTCACTGGAATGGCTAAGAGGTAGAGCAGCACTGCAGGAGATGCAGTGACCTTTCTGAAGTTGTGAAACTGTCTGAGAATCTCTGCCTGGGGAATTCTCTCATGTACACACAAGCAGAATTGTATGTATAATTTCAGAAAACTTACAGACCACTCACAGTTACCCTCACATCTACCTGAAGAGCCCATGGCCTCCAGACTGCAAAGTCTTACCATAGGGACTCTGCCATTGACTCCTCCATAACCTGGGCAAGTATGTAACACTCGAATCTCTGGACCTGAGTCCATAAATCTGTCAGAGACAAGCTAAAGGCTGAAGGTTCTTTCAGCAGTAAAACAAAGCTTATGTGGAGGAACAACAATCCACTTCCTAGGAAAGAGCAGCTGAGTTCATTGCATCTCAGTTCCTAGTCTGTGTCTTCTCACTATGGATGGCCTAAGAAATCCCACTGGAAACACCAAAGTCTCCCAGCAAAAATTCCATTGGAGGAAAATATAAGGCAATTTCTGCCACTCAGTAGAGCCCACTTACCATCCAGCAGGTCTTCTTCATCATCCCTGTCACATTCCTCCACTGCCACCTCCTCCTCCTCCTCCTCCTCTTCCGCATCCTCCAGCTCCACGTCCGGGTCCAGGTCTGGATCGCTCCCTGAGGCAGATTCGTCTGACATGGCTCCCAGAGGTCCTCAGTGGGCATTACCGACTCATGGTCCACTGCAGGGGTGCTAGGAGGAGGATAAGAGACATCAGAATCACCAAGGGTTTTGCTTAGAAGCACAAGTCTTTCAAAGAAAAAACTGCCAGCTGGGCACAGTGGCTCACGCCTGTAATTCCAGCACTTTGGGAGGCCAAGGTGGGTGGATCACTTGAGGTCAGGAGCTCGAGACCAGCCTGGCCAACATGGTGAAACCCCATCTCTACTAAAAATACAAAAGTTAGTAAGGCATGGTGGCACACACCTGTAATCCCAGCTATTCAGGTGGCTGAGGCATGAGAATTGCTTGAACCAGGGAGGTAGAGGTTGCAGTGAGCCAAATGGCGCCACTACACTCCAGCCTGAGCGACGAGGTGAGACTCTGTCTCCAAAATAAAAACAAATAAAAAAATGCTGAACATGAATTCCCTGGAACTTCTCTAAGAAAGGAAAGGTAACCGTACCCAAATCACAACATTCTCTATGAGTGTACTGGCTCTGAGTCATGTTTTGGTGACTGCATAGCTCAAACATCTCTTGGCTATTTTGACAAGAAAACACCTTAAAGTAACAATAACAACAAAACTATAAACCTTGAAATTCCCATTTGTTCATTCCTTCCTGCATCAACTGTTTCCTAAGCACCAACTCTCTATATTTCTTTATACATATACATATATGTGTGTGTGTATATATATGTGTGGGTGTATATATATATGTACATATATATACACACAGAGTCCCCAACCTGCAATGGTTTACCTTACAATTGTGCGAAAATGACACACATTCAGTAGAAACTGTACTTCAAATTTTAAATTTTTCCCAGGCTAGTAACATATGAAACTATACTCTCTGGCAATGCTGAGTAGCGGCAACGAGCCGAAGCTTCCAATCCACCATGCTATCATAAAGTATGCAGTTTTCTGTGCTGCCAGATGATTTTGACTGTAGACAATGTAAGTGCTCTTTATTTTATTTATTTATTTTTAGACAAGGTCCAGTTCTGTTGGCCAGGCTGGAGTGTGGGTGGAGTACAGTGGCGCAATCATAGATCACTGCAGTCTCAAATTCCTGGGTTCAAGCAATATTCCTGCTTAAGACCTCCTGAGTAGCTAGGATGACAGACACATACAACCATGCCTGGCTAAGACAGTGTTAAGTGTTCTGAGCATCTTTAAAGTAGTCTAGGCCAAACTATGATGTTCAGTAAGGTAGGTGTATTAAACAGACTTTCAACTTACAATATTTTTAACTTACGATGCATTTATCAGGATGTAACCCCACTGTACGTGGAGGAACAGCTGTATATAATCGCAGGTGCTATTCTAGAGTTTGGGGACACAGAAGGAAGCAGAACAAAGCATGCAGGGAGTACTCAAGGCTGGTGTGTGGCAGGAGGAGCTGCTAGTTTATATAGGGGAGGTCAGTAAAGTTCTCACTGAGCAGAAACCAAAAGAAAGGAAGAAAGCCATACAGACACCTGGAGGGAGTGTGTTCCAGGTAGAGTGAGCACCAACGGCAGAGGAGGAGTGGCTGGGAGTACTCAGGAGCTAGAATTATGTTTTACCCAAGTTATTCATTCATTCACATTCAGTCCGTCATTTGTTAACCTGCTATATTATGTCTACCATGTGTCAGGTACTGTGCATGTCTGTTTGTCTCTCATCACTTTACCATTAGCTATAAAGGTCACTCCTTCTTGAGGGTTAAAAAAAAAAAAACCATGGTAAAGAGGTGGCTAGTTGGGTAGCTCTGTGATAAAGTAAATATAGCAAAATGTTAACTAGTAAGTTCACTGGCCAATTCTTTCCATTTTTTCTGTATATTTCAAATTTTCTTTTCTTTTCTCTTTTTTTTTTTTTTTTTTGAGATGCAGTTTCACTCTGTTGCCCAGACTGGCATGCAGTGGCACGATCTCGACTCACTGCAACCTCCACCTCCTAGGTTCAAGTGATTTTCCTGCCTCAGCCTCCCGAGTAGCTGGTACTACAGGTGTACCACCACACCCAGCTAATTTTTGTATTTTTAGTAGAGACGGGGTTTTAACATGTTGGCCAGGCTGGTCTCAAACTCCTGACCTTAGGTGATCCTCCCTCCTTGGCCTCCCAGAGTGCTGGGATTACAGGCATCAGCCACTGCACCCAGGCTCAAATTTTCATACTAAAATCAGAGAAGAGGTAAATCATCTTTTTTTTTTTTTTTTTTTTT